CTTAAGGTGGTAAAAATGGCCTAAATGCATAGCGGTGCTGCTATTTAGTATCTCCGATAGACAATAGGGTGTGCTTAAGAAATGAAAGTTCGTTTTTCAAACGCATACCCTTTAATTTTGCTTGAATAACGTCAAAACAGTTGTTAATAAAGGTTGCATTGGAACATGTTAAAAGGTGCATAAAAAGGAAATATTTTTAATAGGAGAAAAAAGCATCTAATTACCGGTTCAAAACCTACTGCACTATCTTGTTCAGGTTTCCGTGTAGAATATTTGTACCTAGGTTATCCGTTTGGTCCATCGGACTTATTCCATTGTCTATTTATTAGGAAAGATGTAATAAAAAATATATTCGAAATATTCCTCTCAATTAGACCAAATAATTTCACCTAATAGATATCAGTCTGTAACAGGTTGGCCGTTATTGCATTAATTAGTGAAACGTAATTAATTAGTCAAATACATTACATTAATTAGCTAAGATGGTCACGATGTCATTATTTGCTAATTACGTCAGTCAGTATTGTTACCAAGATAGTTCGGAATTCTAGCGGAATTCAAAGTTCATGTTATTATGGATTTGATATGTTTTTTGAGCTGACTAGCGGAAACCATTAGTGACACGGAATATTTATTTATCAAGTGGTACAGATTAGAGAAAAAGGTGAAAGGCAACTTACCTATTTACAATCTTACGCTCAGAAGACATCTTAAGGCCGACGCGCACTGCGGTCAATTTGCTTGGTTGATTTTACACTTTGGTTTTATATTGAATATTTGAAAACTGGTCAATAGAATATTCAAAGAGTTGAACTACGTGAATACGAAACGAAATAGCTGATTATCGAGGGTTAAAGAATACTCTCTATTAACTCGCCGAGATAAAAAAATGAAAAGGCTGGGCTGTTTAGTTGAGTTACTCTGTCGGGCAAATTAATAATTATCAATGATAAAGTTGAACTCATACTGGTTATGACAGTTACTTAAAGTTAATCTTTAGGTCAAAGACTAAGCTCATCGAGAATGGAAGGAGAAATAGAGATAAATTAGAAAATGCCTATAAGGCCTATAGAATGAGATAGTTCGATTATCAACAGTATTAATGGGATTTTGAAAGATACGAACTTAATCAATAATTAACTTCAAATTATGTTACAGAAATCTAAATAGCCACTATCTGAAAATTGTGGATGATGACCAGAAATGAAATACTCACTAGTGTACATTTAAAATGGGATCTGTCTGTCAGATCAAGAAATGATTTTCTCTATATTATTTGATGAGATATTCTATCAAACACCTACCTATTCGACAGGTGGGTGAATTGGACAGTCGTAAAGTGATATCTAGCCGAGGTCCGAGGAAGACTATATAAAAAAAATCTTTCGACAGTAATTTACTTGAAGTCTTGCATCTTTATTACAGTTGAACACTCCATTTTATTACATCTAAGTTGTCATATTCATTCCTATATATAATCGAACGTTAATGATCTAGGAATAACCTTTTTGCTTATGTTTTTGTGCTCCTATGCGGCGCTTCCGCCTTCTCAGAATAAAGTTTCCGTTAGAAGGAACCTTATAGTTTTCCGATGGTTCGGACACTTACAACACGTTATCATTCATAAAACTGTCAAACCGTTTTATAGAATATGCGCAGATATGACTTCATGTTACAATTATAATTTAACATCATGGTGTACAAAGCCAGTCTTGGAGCCAGTTCTTTTTCACCTATGATATAAGATGTTGGCTTATCGTCCAGTATGATTCTGCGTGTTTGCAATAACACTATCAATGACCACTATGAATAGCTATTCTTAGCAGCAATCGGTGTTTCTACTACTGATGGGCCTATACAGCGTGATTGACAAGTCGTGACGAAAAATGAAACACAGGACTGCATTTTAAGGAAGGTCTTCTATGTGACATTTTTTCCTGGAAGGCTCCATTAAAAAGATACAGGGTGTTGAAGTTTAACATCTAACACATTTTCTCTGTAATTCTATAGAAAAGCTAAGTATGAGTTTGCACTTAAACGTTGTGGCAAAAAACAGTTGGGCATTGAAAATGTCGCAACAGACATTTCTAGAAACGAGTGGATTCTTACAGAACGGGGATTTTCTAACGACCATATATGTTCGTTCATTATGAGAATTAAAGGTTCCACTCCTCGTAAAAAGCGAGTCTTCTGACCACAAAACGAAATCAATATAAGCTGCATTTTTATTATGCATTTGCAGTAACCACTCTCAAAAATTTCGCTGTTGCACTTTGTCGCCGGGTTGCAGACATTGCATATTTTGCCGATAGTGAGGATGTAAAACTTCTCGATTCAAAATCACTTCCAGTTCCTCTTGAACAGTATTTTGGCAATTCCATATTGCCGAAGTTTCAGAAATAAACGCGTACCTTTGGGGTAGGTTGGCGTCTGTTAGGAAATCTTCGATGATACTCTCGAACAGCCGCTAAAGCATTACCATTACAGTACCCGTACACAAAAATAATATCGGCGTATTATTATTGCTAAATTAAGATATTAAAAAAATTGTATTTTATTTTTAAGCTTCAACACATCTTTTTAATGAAGCCCTCGAGGAAAACATATTACATGGAAGACCGCCCTTGAGAGACGGTCCTGTGTAAGATGTTTCATTTTTGGTCACGACTTGGAGAATGTAGGTTTAATCAAATAATGTCGCCAGTCTGCAATTCCAAAATTGATGACGAAAAAATAAGTCATTAAGGGTTATAGCCGTTGCGGCAGGCAGACGGGACAACGCAATGGATTATCTCAGCCTAAAAGCCGACAAGACAAACGCCTGTGAGCTAGAAATGGGGCACTTCTTTCATTATCACAATAAATTTCGTGGTCCCGAACGCGCGCATCCCATTTGTTTCTCAGCGGTTATTTCTCGCCCGTAATTATTGTTGACAGTAAACGATCATTTTATTAACATGGACGCACGAATAACCTGGCGTCGCTGGACTTTGAAGTTGAGTCATCAATTTTCAGATAATGATTGTAGAAAGAAGATAAACGAAAATAGGTGTGTAAAAATAAAAAATAAAAATGTTACCTTGTTTTATAAAGTATCTTCCCGACAAGTATTTCAGTGCGGACCTGTATTTGATCGTGCGGTCTTGGAGCACCGGCATGCCCTCCCCTGTGAGGTCTTAAGTCACCTGATTCACGAGCCCTTTGTACTACATTAACAAAGGCACGAGGGGTTGGTTGCACTCGATTGGGAAACTGATCCGCATAAATCCGTGATGCCGCGGCAGCATTTTGTAAAGACCCCCCCTCCGTAAATAAGAATCATGTACACAAGTTCAGCATTTTCGTAAACATGTGCCATTTTTTATTTCGTTTGAGCCACGCAACAAACAACACTATTCACTCACGCGTTACCGACTGACACATTGACTGAATACATCTGAATACAACTGAATAAAATTGTAGTAAAAACATCGTGATAAGCGTTTCAAATTCTTTCGCTTTTTTGTTTCCGATGCGATGAACCGATAAGGCGGATTATATCCGTTCTTGCCAAATACGAGCACATAATATTATTACTGAGACAGGGCGATACTCAAACCTCTAAAGGGCTATAACTTTGTTACTTTAATTTTACCAGAAAAATGTTAAAGGAAAAAACATTTCTTTTGATCAGATCTACTCACTGTTAAAATAAATGACTCAATTTCGAAGTCACCCTATATACACTCATGAAATTATACGTTAGATATGTAGGTGTGGAGTGAATCAATGCAGTCGTTTAGTCTAGACATAAACTAGAATACCTTGGAGGAGATATAATCACAATACCAAGATACGAGTTCCTTCGGCTAATTTTCAACGTACAAAGTGAATGGGAAAAACGAATTGGTTGAAACAAACCACCCTGATTGAGAAACTCGCGACAATGGACTGGTTTATTAGCAAATCAATTACCACATAGGATTTGTGTAGAAATATTGTTAGTATGGCAATTGCCACGGTCCTCTAGATTCATGGCATCTCAGTTCATTAGGCTTATTTTCAACGTCCAAAATGAATTGGAAAGACGAATTGGTGGAAACAAACCAACCTGATTGAGAAACTCGCGACAATGGACTGGTTTATCAGCAAATCAATTACCACACAGGATCTGTATAGAACTATTGTTAGTATTGCTATTGCCATCGTCCTATAGGTTCATGTCATCTCAGTTCATCAGGCTTACTTTCAACGTCCAAAATGAATAGGAAAGACGAATTGGTTTAAACAAACCACCCTGACTGAGAAACTCGCGACAATGGACTGGTTTATTAGCAAATCAATTACAACACAGGATCTGTATAGAAATATTGTCATCGTCCTATAGGTTCATGTCATCTCAGTTCCTCAGGCTTATCTTCAACGTCCAAAATGAATAGGAAAGACGAGTTGGTTTAAACAAACCACCCTGATTGAGAAACACGCGACAATGGACTGGTTTCTTAGGAAACCAATTACCAAACAGGATCTGTATAGAAATATCATTAGTATTGCAATTGCCATCGTCCTCTAGGTTCATGACATCTCAGTTCCTTAGGCGCGAATTACACTGAAAAGGCGTAAGGTGAAGGCGCGGCGCAGACGCAGAGCAGGCGTGGCACAGATAAGGCACGGATGCGATTTAAATTATATCAAAGAGGCGAAGAGATGGCACAACAAGTCATTACATAGGGTGACTTTATCGTGATAGCATGTCTTCCTCTTCAGACGACGAAGATGCGTTGGCTCATTAATGTGCAGAGACACCGAAGATATTGGGTGCACCCTGTGTGGAGAATGTCACAAGAGCATAGATATTTTAAAATGATGGAAAAATTATGCGAATATCCTGATCGTTTTCCTACAGTGTATAAAATGTCACTAGAATGTTTCCACATTGTATTGTCGAAAGTGAGACACGGTCTTCAGAAGAAGCATACAAATTGGAGAGAACCGATCTGTCCTGAAGAAAGACTATTGATAACATTAAGGTTAGTAAAACATCTTTGGCATTTTTATATAGGTACTTTTATTTGTTTGATGTTTGAGTAGAAAACTGGACTAAGATTTGACAATCAGGAGGACTTGTTTGCTATCTATCAATACCAGAGATCGGAATTGGGTGTGTGAAAGAAAATACCTAAAGTTTTCAGCAGGGCATAACATGGAGTACAACCACTTAATTTGAACCGGTTTTGAATATTACCAGTTCAGTTTCGGTTTTTTTGTTTTACATGTTCCTTAACTTTGAAACACCCAACTATAAACTAAACTATGTAAAGAACGAGTAGAACTAAAAAACCGAATTTGAACCGGAAAAGTTCAAAACCAAAATTATTTTAAAACTGTATTAGCGGGAAGATGTAAAACAAAAAAGCTGAAACTGAACCGTGAAAATTCAAAACTGGTTCAACTTAAGTGGTTGTAACAGTTCCATATTATGTCCAGCTGCAAAGTTTAGGTATTTTCACACACCCAATTCCGATCTCTGATCATTACCGCAAAAATTAATAATTGGAATCATTCACATCACCATCGTGAGGTTGACTTTCTGCTTCAATTCTCTGGTGTGACGGAGGTGAAACCGAAGTAACTGGAGAAAACAATGGCAAATAAATTTGAGTCCCAGCTCGCTGAGGTGACCGACCTCTGTAAGCACCACTTGTTTGCATCTGCTGAAGTGTTGGATCTCCATATGCGCCAGTCGTTTGTGTCTGCTGAAGTGTCGGCTGTATCTGCTGAAGTGTCGGCTGTGTCTGCTGAAGTGTCAGACCTCCGTATCCGCTAGTTGTATGTGTCTGCTGAAGTGTCAGACCTCCATATGCGTCAGACGTATGTGTCTGCTGAGGTGATTGATTTCCATAAGATCCCGTTGGACTTCCATAAGATCCCACATTTGCAGGTGAATTATACTCTGACTCCCGTGATGGAGTTCTTTGGTAAGGAGTTATACTTCTCGGACATGAAATACGACTAGTGATTGGCTCTTTTAGAATTTGTTCAATTAAATTAAGTACGCCCAATTTCAATTTTCGTTTTTGGTCTTGATTCATTGTTTGCACATCTGGCATCATGCTGCGGAAAAAGGCCATGTCGGCGTCTGAATCGTCCTTATTTTTTACTTTTGTTCCTTCGTCCATATTTTGTTGTCGTGCAATTATTTGTTTATTTTTTAGGGTGAAGTATTCGTGCGCTGTCTTATTAACATCACTTATACGAATCTGTTTATTTTTTGGTGGCGGCTGTGTATGTTGTGGCGTGATAAAATCAGTCGCCTGCCGTTCACCTGCAGGTGAGCCAGCAGACATGCATGTCAAATCGTCTTCATCTTCGATTCGGTCTGCATCGTTCCCCAAATTGCCTTTAGAGGGTCGGGATTTTAAAAAACTGTCTAGGAAACGCAAGTTTGGTGCAAGGTAGTACTCTTTAGGTGTTTTCGCAGCAGATCCAGATGGAGCACTCATGTTTCTCTTATTCTTTGAGTAACTACATCTGATGTTCTTCCATCGGTCTTTGCAGTCTTTAGCTGAAACAAAAACCAATAATTTTATTCGATGATATAATACCTATTGTTGTTTTGTATAACAACTTCGACTGGGCGCTTTCTACTCATCAATACGAACAACTTTTACTATGGGAGCAGCTTAAAAATCTTTGAAAAAAACAGCTGTTCTATATACATTTTGTTCAGTAGGTATCAAATTTTAGCATGGAACAGCTGTTTTTCTAAGATTTTTCAGTTGGTCCCCTAGTAAAAGTTGTTCGTATTGAAGAGTAGAAAGCACCCTGAGTTGGGTGCTGTTTTACAAATCAACACACAGTAAATTAAATTATTATTTGTAAATGAATAGATGTATCTATCTATATACTATTATTTTTAACATCCGACGCATGAAAGGGATGGATGATGGATGTGATGTAAGAAAGTGTCACCAGACAATTACATGAATACAATACTGTCGCGTGCGAAAGGGCTTAAGTTTCATTTTTGGTCAAGCGCGATTCAGTTTCGTGTACATATTATAACTATATTTTTTTGTTACAGATACTATGCAGATGGATGTTCGTTTAAATCGCTTTCTACATATGTTCAGAGAGGCAGCACTACCGTTCAAAAAATCGTACAAGAAACTTCACGTGTACTGTGGGAATATTTACAGCCGGAATATATGCCAATACCTACAACACAAAAATGGCTTGAAGTTGCTCAACGTTTTTACACTTTATGGAATTTACCAAATTGCGTAGGAAGTATAGACGGAAAGCATATAAGAATTAAAGCACCCAAAAATTCTGGCTCAGCTTACATAAACTATAAAGGATATTTCTCTATCGTATTGATGGCAGTAGTAGATGCAGATGGCCTGTTTTTAACTATAGACGTCGGCGAATATGGCCGAAACAGTGACGGGCGTGCATTCCAAGTTAGTTACTTTGGGCAAGCTATGGAACAAGGAAACCTCAATTTACCACACCCTACTCCATTGCCTGGAAAAACGAATATGGTGCCCTATTATTTTATTGCTGATGAAGCTTTTCCTCTGAAGAAAAACTTAATGAAACCGTATGGCCGAAATCAGTTAACAAATGAGAGAAGAGCATTTAATAACAGATTGTCAAGGGCACGAAAATCAGTGGAATGTGCCTTTGGTATGATAAGGACTAAATTTAGCGTCCTTAGCACATCTGTTTGCTGCGATCCAGAAAATGTCGATAGCATTATAAAAGCTATGAGCGTTTTGCATAATGTTATCCGCAAATATGATGGGAAACTCGTGGTTCCACGTTTTAATAACAGTTTAATAGGAACAAACATCAACGTGCAACAAACAAGGGAAGATCCTAAAATCATCAGAGAATATCTTACAACATACATGACAACTCGATCTCCGATTCCATTTCAAAATAGACATAATTAATAAATAAAAATAAAGTACTTACCTGTTGCACCTAGTTTTAATCCTATTTCTCTCCATATTTTGTCTTGTATATTTTTATTAGAGTACTCCGGCTTATTATAATCGTAAAGAGCTGGATATTGTTCAACTATCTCGCAGAACTGTAAGTTAAATTCACTATCGTCACGCATTTTTGCTCCTCCTGTATAACAAACGACGTATTGCTTGCGCAGCACTCCAGTCGCGACTGCTAGCGACGCGGAACAGGTGACGAAACGACGTGCCTGCGCCACGCCGCTTGAGTATAATTCACAACGTGTCGCCTACCTACATTTTGTATTGAAAACCTTTGAAGCGCCAAGATGCCTGCGCCGCGCCTTCACCTTACGCCTTTTCAGTGTAATTCGCGCCTTAGGCTTACGTTCAACGTCCAAAATGAATAGGAAAGACGTATTGGTTGAAAGAAACCTCCCTAATTGAGAAACTCGAGACAATGGACTGGTTTATTAGCAAATCAGTTACCACACAGGATCTGTATAGAAATGTTGTGAGTATGGCAATTGACATCGTCCTATAGATTCATGACATCCTAAGAAGGTGTCATAACTATTGATATTATAAAGGGTGTTCAGTCTATAGTTATCATTTTTTACCATTTTCAGAATAATACCTGCGCCCAATGGTAGTGACATAATAGAGGACTAGTGGGAACCATTGTGGATGAGATTTTATGTAATGTATACAGCACCGAGCTAGCCAATGACAAATTTTTAGAACAAAAGATATTCTCCGCAAAATTTCCTTCAGTATTTGGATCTTTCTAGGGTCATTGAGTCTCTTTGAAATCCTGGGATCTACTTGGACATGTCTATATTTGCTTGAAACTCCTCAACTCGCCACTTGATAGAATTGTAAGAAAAATCAGTACACTAAGGACTGTAATGGAAAGGCGCAAGCGCAGCATTCCATTGAATATCCTTGGAGCCCCTTGGATTACCTCAGGTCTCCTCACAACGGAATAGCAACTCTCCTTCCTTAACGTCAGACTATCTGGATAATTTTTCACGATATAAAAGGTATTTCATTTGAATTTTTAAATGGCTGATATCAAATACTTATCTGAAAATTGTTACCAGTTGGGTTGTCCCCGAAATTTCCGTTTTCTCATCTGCTATTATCGCCAAATACGAGACTCTGTTAATCTGTTTTATTATTTCATCATGACAAACGTCAAGCATACAATCCAGTAGATCGTTTTGTATTTCTTTCGAAGTTCCTTTAAATATTGAAGCATTTTTATGTATTCGTTTAAGGTTGTATCAAGCTCAGCAGAAAAATTAATCAGTCCACAACATATTCCCGGGTTTTGGGAGCTCTCGGTTTCGTCGTTGGCCCCGTAGCGCCAATTCAAATGTTCCGCAAAATTTTATACAATCGATTATTTTTAATAGAACGTACTTGTTTTTTGTAACGGTATCATTATGCTGTTGTATATTTCCCCAATATGCTGAATCTAACTGAGCTCTGATGTTAACAGTCCCCAATAAAGCCAATTTCATCGAATTATGAAGATCTGTCTTAGAGTTTTCATGCTTCTTAATTTTTTCACTCAGGTGGACTAAAATCTGTAACACCTACCTCCGTCCAAGCTTTGTCACCGCCGAAAAGTCTGCAAGGAAAGCAGAAAAGGGCATTCTTCCTGTTGCACCCACAAATCCAGTCATTTCTGGTGTAAATCTCCCTGCTGAAATGCCGCGTATAGCCCTTGCCCCGACTAACGCCCCCTGTTTCTATAAATATGTCCGGCAGCGGTCGACCTAACACCTTCAGCTCAATTTTTTCTTTAAATGTGTATTTCCAGAATCGTTTCACGCTGATAAGTCTGTAAACCACATCCATTGTCTTGCACTACCCTTCTGCACAGCCACAGTCAGTCAGTGAGTCACTAGTCACTCAACGTAAGACCCAAAATACCTAAAAAAACATTTTTCGCATTCAAATTTTAAGCCACGTCACGCGACAAGACCAATATGCCAACACCGCCGAGGACCGAGCACCGACCGATCAATCAGATATCGTGCTTCGCATTAGATCTGTACGGATCTGTATAACTTGCAGCACATGCTTATGCTTAAATCGCGCATTTGATTTTGTAGGGAGAGACAAAAAAGCAAGCGCGTGCGGCTTGTGTCGAACTAGTGCACAGACCCTTTTCAAGTGGCCCATGAATAATGATACGCTACTGTCGCGACGAAAATGTCAAGTACACAATTGGTCGATTATAATGCTTTCCAATACAAAACAGACTCGACGCCGTGTCTTGCGGGGGTCGCGTTGCCGGAATTGTTTGTATTTGTGTAATAACATGGAAAATAAATAATGATCAAATTACTACTGCTTTTTTCTGTTAAGACAAAAGTTTGGCAGTTCTGCAGCTCTGCAGAATTTAAGGGCCAGCCGCCGCTGCTGATATGGATGCTACTTACGCTTTTATTACCACTTTCGGGACTTCCAAACCCACTCTCACTGCTGCCGGCAACCCGTCACGCGCATTTGTGTTTTTCCTTTTCTCCTTTTGGTACTGTTACGTGGAAGTTAAAAAAGGTCAAAATTATTATTTTGCATTTTAGTGAACTAAAACGTCAAGGTCAAAATTAAGCCAGAATAAGATCAAATTACGCGCCGCTATTTTATTATCTTAGTGTGGAAATTATAACCTCTACAAAGTTATTTTTTGCATTTATACATTACCTTTACTGTAATTACAACCTACCATTATCGAAAGAATATAGTTGAGTGCTGCCACCTACTGATAAAGTGCAAACGTCTTCTAAAGTCTAACGTCTACTGGTGATAGAGCGATAAAAATGTATATGTGATTAGATCTATAGGATAGATACAGATAGATATATCCTCCTTTTTGTGCATGTTTATTGAGACATCATCGTAGAAAAAAAGGTTTTATAACAACAGTTTTGAATACACCTAGCCTTGGTTCAATTCTCCATCTGAAGGCGCCCCAGAATTTTGCCATTCAGAGCTTATTTTTATCTAATTTTACAGTTAGCTTGTTTCAGCATGCTGGAAATTGTTACGGTAGAGACCATTCGCAAAAAGTGTGGTGCATAATTTTATGAAAACAGAACTTATTCTCAAAACCTGTAAGTTATCACATAACTATTTAGCTTTTAGGGACATCCGCGAAATATACAACTATTTAGTTTGATAACAAACGGCGAATGACTAATTGAAATTTTTTCTAACCTCATATTGCTTATTTGACCAATTTTCGGTGAATTTGACGTTACTGCTACATAACTAGGTAACCTTATCTTAATATCCCAACTGTTTAACCATGGAGCCTATATACCAGAGGAACCGGCGAAATGGGAGAAGAAAGGCCCCAAAACTTGATACCTGACGGAGGGCTCAGTAAGCAGAGTGGACCAGTTAGTGCGTATGTGCAGAGTATCTGAGATTAGTAAAAAAAAACTTATCTCGTGCTGCCAACTTGTGCTGATACTATACCAAATCGCGTTGGGCTCTAAATACTAGGTGCAAACTTACAGCTCCACAGCTCCACCAATTTTGTTTCTCAAGGCGTTACCTTTTCTAAAATACTTGGAACAAATTCTTGCAGATTTTGGCTCTTCTA